AGTTCATATTTGTCTCCCTTAGTAGTTATAACCTCTGCTGGCCTAGTGGTAAGAATCTGTGCTGCAATCCCGAAGGCTTGTCGTTTGGATCCACCAGCTGCTCGAAGGGAAAAGGATGGGCAATCTCCTCCTGTGCGATTAACTGCCTCTGAAAATCCCATTGGAGGGTCAGCTGTGGGTCAGTTCTGACTCGATAACACACAATGATCTGCAAGAAGGAAGAATATTCTTAACATTTCCTTCCCAGGAAATAAAAGGTGCTTAAAAATCTCTATTGAATACACAGATAAATGGTTGATATTTGAGCTTTAAGGATCCCAGGTGGACGATGTATTCTATTTTGCACTGCTGACTGAGATGCTGAGGGAGCTCTGATGCCACAGTCCATAAGAAATTGCACTGCTGACCCAAAGATGGCCCTGCAGTCGTGGTTCGAATCCACCAGCGGCTCCAAGGGAGAAAGATGGGCAGTCTTCCCCCTTGTGATTTACAGCCCCCGAAAACTCACTGGCGGGTCAGCCATGAGTCAGTTCCAACACATTTGATTCCCAACAAGAAGACGGCATCTCCATTTAAAAATTAAGAACATTGGCACTCCGTGTTTAAGTAAGTTGGACAGGGCCACAAAGCTGGGACCTGGCAAAGCTGAAATGCCGCCCCAACAAGTGTGGTTCCAGAATCAGCAGCCTGAGAGGGTCTGTCCACCACACTGCTCAGACGTCCGCAGTTCTCGGTGTACTAGCCGCCCAGCAGGAGGGAGATGGGTGACCTTATCAAAGACTTCAGTTCCATTAACGATCTACAACCTCCAAAACCTGATGAAGGAAGGGACACGGTGCCTTGGGATCATCTCAACAGCAGTGGGTTGGGGAGCTGTTGAGTTTTACAAGTGCAGATAACTTTACTTGAATGACATTTTTAAAGCAGTGGATTAAATAGCATTTACTCATGACTTTAGCTAATGTTTCAGTGGCGCATACCTTTACAGCAGCTTCACTTACTCCTGGAATAAATACCAGCATTACATAATGGTTTAAATCACGCGTGTTGAGCCTGGGTTTGAATCCTGGGTAATTCAGATAGCCAATACCTTAATTCTCCACTACTTCAAAATGTTCTTTCAAAGTGCTTTGAACAAGGGAAAGGAAAACATAGATTTTTGTTTGTTTTGTTTTGTTTTTATATATGTGTGTATGAAAAAATCATATACATTGTGTTTCACCCTTTGCTTCATACACTTTGTGTTTCGTACACTGATTCCTCTACATTGTGTTTTATAAAATTATCACCATTGAAATATTTCCACCCCCCCCCATGCCATCTTTTCAGGTCCCTGCTGGATCTTTCCCATTTCCATCACCCCCTCCCCCCACCCACCAAATTGTGTGTGAGACCCTGTGATATCCCCCCTGCCCATCCTCATGCTTCTGCTCCTTCCTCTTCTCCCCCCCACCCCACCCCATGGACCTTCATACACGTTTTACTACCTGTCCTTCTATTTGTACAATAATGGTCTTATGCAGTATTTGTCCGTATGATACTGAATTAGTTCACTCAGCATAATGCTTTCCAGTCTCTCACATGTTATGAAGTTTTCTCCTAAATAGTTGTTCCTGGTGTTGCATAGTATTCCATCATGTGAATGTACCACAATTTCTCAATTCAGCCATTTGTTAGACAACATAGATTTAAAACACATACACACATAAAACAACAACAATACCAAATATTGAGAGAATGGTGAGCAACTGAAACTCTCATACTCTGATGCTGGTTTGTGTGGGTTTATCCATTTATAATGGATAAATTGAATGATGGTCTATATACACTCTTGATACTATATATAGCCATAAAACAGGTCTCAAAAAACGCAAGAGCAAAGAGAGCATGAGAGATTCCTATTCCAGCTGTGCCACTGAGCTTCAGACAAAGTTCGTAAGTTTTCTGAGGCTCAGTCCTTTTGTATGCAAAATAGGATTTAACGGGTGGTCACATTTCAAGGTTGATGGTGAGAACTGATGAGAATCAATTTGTAGAATTACTTCCAGATAATCCCATTGGCAAATCACTTAGGTATGCCAGATGTGTCTTTTTCATGGAGATACTGGTTTTTGAAACTGAAAAGAAATTACATGGAAGCATTTACAAAATAAGTCTGATATCAATAAAAATAATAACTTGGGGGAAATAGATTGTTGAGATATGTGCAAAAACTTTGCGCAGCTTTATTATGGAGATGGAGACATTTATTAGTATAGTTTGTTAACTGTGATTACCCTCAAGAGGCAGCGAGTGACTGGATAATGTTGCTGTTGTTGTGTGCTGTCAAGTCAGAACCAACTCATAGCTGACCCTCGAGTGGGTTTTCAGAGGCTGTAAATCGTGCTGGAGAAGCTGGTAGATTCAAACTGTTTGCCTTTGGGATTGCAGCATGGCTGTTTACCACTCAATAACAGATACGTATTAATTTAAGGGAAAGACAATATGTAAAAAGGAGGTGATTGGCACAATATTGTTGTTGTTATGTGCCATCGAGTCGCTTGCGACTCATAGCGACAACAGCCCTGAACTCTGCTCTTCCCTGTGCCAGTCACACTGTCTCTGACACTCCCGTCCCGATTACCCCAGTCACTGAATCAATCCACCTCATAGAGGGCCTTCCCCTCCTGCGCTGTCCCTCCACCCCACCAAGCATGATGTCCCTCTCCAAGGACCAGTTCTCCTTACGTGTCCAAAGTATGTTAGACGGAGCCTCAGAATCCTTGCCTCCAAAGAGCCGCCCGGTTTGACCCTTTCCAGGATGAATGTGTTTGTTTTCCTAGCAGTCCGTGGTACCCTCAGTACTCTTCTCCAACACCACAGCTCAAAGGCATCAATCTATCCTCCCTGGTCATTGTCCAACTCTCTGACACATAACAAGTGATTGCAAAGACCATGGCCTGTATCAGACGCACCTTAGTCTCCAGAGAGACACCATTGCTCTTCAGTACTTTGGAGAGGCCCTAACAGCAGACTTTCCCATCGCAATATGTCTTTTAATTTCCCGGCTACTGGTGCCGAGAGTGGTGACTGTGGAGCCAAGCAAACTGAAGCTGTGACCAATCTCAGTCTCTTCACCATCCATCCTGATGCTGACAATTGGCCCAGAATTGCTAATTCTCTAACTACTTCAATTTTTTTTTACACACAAGTGTTTCCTTTATTGACTTTATGTCTGTGTACCTGTTTGTGTTTTTATTTTCTTTAGTAATAGTGTGCCTTGACATGGCACACTATTACTAAAGAAAATAAAAAAAAGTTTGTGTGCAAAAAATATTTAAGTAGTTAGAGAATCAGAGTTAGGAAGTTACTTTTTTCTGCTACTTTTTAAATTATGTTATGTATGTGTATTGTTGTTATGTGCCATTGGGTCATTGGCAACTCATAGCGACCCTACGTACAACAGCCCTATACTGTGCTCTATCCTGTGCCAATCTTACTATCTCTGACACACCTAACCCCATTACTCTAGTCACTGAATCAGTCCATCTCATCGAGGGTCTTCCTCTCTTGCACTATCCCTCCTCCATCCTCTCCAGCATGATGTCCCTCTCCAAGAACTGATCCCTCTTTCCAACATGTTCAAAGTATGTCAGACAAACTTTCAGAATATATTACCTCTTCTAAAAAGAACTGTTGTTTATTTTTAAGTTAATCATGAAAGCTCTGATCATCTCAGCTCCTTAATTATCCGTTACTTTTTTAACAAAGGACTCATTCTAAAATGCAAGTTCTATAATGTTTCTGTCTTTTTCTTTCTCTCTTTTTGCAAATATGTTTTCTTTTAAATGTGCACTTTGATGAAAGGAGACCGAGGCTTACTTGGCCTCAGCCTATAATGTTTCTTACGAGTTCATTTTAATGTTGTCTTAAGCACCATTATGTTGTTGTTGTTGTACTGTTGAACTAGAACCGATCCATAGCTGACTCACCACCAGGTTTTCAGAGGCAGTTTAATCACATGGAAGGAGATTATCCGTCTTTCTCCTGCAGAGCAGCTGGTGGATTCAAACTGTGTGCCTTTAGGAAAGCAGTGCAGCTTCTTACCACTAGGCTACAAGAACCATTATAGAAGTAACATCAATTGGTGTTCAGTTCTGTTGTTCATAGGGTCACTATGAGTCATATTCTACTTGGCAGCACCTAATTGGCTAACACAGAAAAGCAGGAAAAATCATTCCAAACTTATATTCCCCATGCATTCAGACAAAAGAAAGCACATTTTGTTGTTGTTGTTGTTGTTATGTTCCATCGAGTCATCTGTGACTCATTGAGACCCTGTGTACAACAGCTCTAAACCCTCCTCTGTCCTGAGCCAGTCTCACTGGTTCCAACACACCAACACCCATTGCTCCAGTTCATCCGGGGTCTTCCTCTCCTGCACTGTGCCTCCACCCTTCCAAGTATGATGTCCTTCTCCAAGGACCGGTCCCTCCTGGCCACGTGCCCAAATTATGTGAGATGGAGCATCAGAATCGTAGCCTCCAAGGAGACACTTGGTTTCACCCTCTCCAAGACAGACCATTTGTTTTCTTGGCAGTTCATGATATGCTCAAGACTCTTCTCCAGCACCAAGCTTGGACCCTGTCACCATGACTTACTTGCTGTGTGTAAACTCAGTAAACACATTAGCCTCTCTGAGGCCCCGGTCCACTTTTAGCGTGAAAATAACAGCAGACAGAGTCCAGATGTCTGCAGGGGTTGCCATCTGGAATGCAGAGACTGTCCCTAAAAAGCATTGGTTCAATCCTCTTGACTTCCATTGTTGTTGTTATGTGCTGTTGAATCATCTGCGACTCATAGCGACCCTATGTACAACAGTCCTAAGCCCTGCTCTGTCCGGTGCGAATTGACTTCCATAGGCATGTCCAAAAATATTAGTAGAAATGCCCAGGGCCCCCAGAGTAGCCCAGAGGGCGTCTTTTGCCACAGAGATGAATCCGTGTCTTTTCTTTCCACAGCCAACATCCTTACGGTGATAATCCTTTCCCAGCTGGTGGCACGAAGGCAGAAGTCCTCCTACAACTATCTCCTGGCGCTTGCTGCAGCTGACATCTTGGTCCTCTTTTTCATCGTGTTCGTGGACTTCCTGTTGGAAGACTTCATCTTGAACATGCAGATGCCTCAGGTCCCCAACAAGATCATAGAGGTGCTGGAGTTCTCGTCCATCCACACTTCCATCTGGATCACCGTCCCATTGACGATTGACAGGTACATTGCCGTCTGCCACCCGCTCAAGTACCACACTGTCTCCTACCCAGCCCGCACCCGCAAAATCATTCTTGGCGTCTACACCACCTGCTTCCTGACCAGCATCCCTTACTATTGGTGGCCCAACATCTGGACTGAAGACTACACCAGCACCTCCATGCATCACGTCCTCATCTGGATTCACTGCTTCACGGTGTACCTGGTGCCCTGCTCCATCTTCTTCATCTTGAACTCCATCATCGTGTACAAGCTCAGGAAGAAAAGCAACTTCCGCCTGCGGGGCTACTCCACCGGGAAGACCACGGCCATCCTCTTCACCATCACGTCCATCTTCGCCACGCTCTGGGCCCCCCGTATCATCATGATCCTCTTCCACCTCTACGGGGCGCCCATCCGGAACCGCTGGCTGGTCCACATCATGTCCGACGTCGCCAACATGCTGGCCCTTCTGAACACGGCCATCAACTTCTTCCTCTACTGCTTCATAAGCAAGCGCTTCCGGACCATGGCGGCTGCCACGCTCAAGGCTTTCTTCAAATGCCAGAAACAACCCGTACAGTTCTACACCAACCACAACTTTTCCATAACAAGTAGCCCCTGGATCTCACCAGCCAACTCCCATTGTATCAAGATGTTGGTGTATCAGTATGACAAAAATGGAAAGCCTATAAAAGTGTCCCCGTGACCCTCCCCTAGGTTTGGCACCTCGTGCCTCTGTTTAACCAGTTTTCCAGATGGAAGGAGCGTCCCATCCTCTGGCTGAAAAGCTCCCCTGGGGAGCGCTGCCCTGATTTCCTGCCTCCACGGATTGAGAACTCTCAGACTGGTAGATGGGAAGAGACAGAAGAGCCGAAGGGAAAGCATGAATCTTGGTTTTTATTTATGTATTTCTTTTTGCAACATCAACAAAGTCAACGGCCAAAGTACCTACCAGTTTGAAGATGCCATTAGAGGTTGTGTCATCATGCCATGGCCCGCGAGGACGCGCAGTGTAGACGTAGTCTGCGGCTTCGCCCTGGCACCATCCATTGTCACTGGGAACATCCCACGTCCATGGCGCATCAAGTCACAGTCGCACGTAGTTGAGTCGCCACTCTTCCAAAAGCTGAGGTCATCCATGGCTTTCTCGTGTCGTTTCCAGACTAACAGTGCTGACTGACTCCGGGTCCTGGAGACGGGTGTGAGGTCTTGAAGTGGCTCTGGCACCCCTAGCTGTGGAGTGGCAGGGAGGGGCATCAGGAAATACCGAGTGCCCCCTCCAATCTGTTGCCTAGAGCTTAAGAGGCCGCAAAGTGTTTTAACTATGATCCTCAGACCTGGAATCTAACACATACTCTTTCTACTTGCTCTTGTGTATAGATTTTTATGTCTCCTCCAAAACAAAGACCCTGCCTACTGTGTGTGGGGAGACGGGGAAGGGAGGGATTCTTGAGCCCAGAAAAACAAAAAAAAAACCCACCCAAATACTAAGCTCACTCTTGCCATTGTTTTGATTTGCCCCCGTGTCAGCTGTGTGCCATATCTTCACTTGAAAAGCTTCTCAATGCAATGTCGCTTTTTTCCCCCCTGGAAAAACCTTTCCTCCTTGCCTGCCCAAGTCCCCTCCAAACTGTTGTATATGAAGTGATTTCCAAATGGCACTGACGATTCCTAGGTCAAGGACTGTCACTCCCTGGGGTTGGGAGGTGAGGGCAACTCGGCTCTGTCCTACAGTCCCAACTGGCATCACCGTTCCACCACAGACACAAACTTGGTTGACAGAGAAATGCCCAGTCTGTCTGCTCAGCTGCTCTTTGGCACGTGTAGTTCAAAAGGGCAGTGCTGGTTCCCCATGAAGCTATTTGACCCAGACCCTTTGCAAAATGATAAAATACAGATTGCTTTCTCTCGTCTCTCCTTGACTGGCTGAAGCAAGAACATTTCAAGGACATTATTAAAGCGGGCTTCCCTGTGACTTGCTCACTCACACACATACACACAGACACAGACACACAGACACACACACACACACACGACTCTATTAGGAGCCCTAGTAGCACTACAGTTGAGCATTAGCCAACTAACTAAAATTGTAGTCGTTCAAGCCCACCCAGCCAGGGAAACCTTACACAGCAGTACTAATCTGTCACATGGGCTCAGTGTGGTTGTGTCAAAGTGACTCATGGCAATAGACTCTCCAGGAGGAGCTTTGCCCGTCTTCTTCCTGGGCAGCAGTTGGTGGATTCAAACCATTTGCCTTTTGACTGGCAGTGCCCTTCCTTATCACTTACACAACCAGAGCTCCCCTGCTGGGATCACCCGGGGTCAAAACCTGACTTGTCTGCCCCCAACAAAAATGCGGATCCACTGCTGTACTGAGAAAGGGAAATCCGTGCTAGAATTCCTCTCAGTTAGTCGTATTTCCCCCCACTTCTCGAGGGTTTCAAAGTCATATGCATTTCAGAAGAAATCTCTCAATTCTTTTTAGAGGTGTATGTGACCGTGTGGGTGACAATAAAAAAGCAGATAGCAGTCCACTTGGCACTCATGGCCCCTCATTGCCAGGTCCTGCTGCATTTTTGGCCTGAAGTTGTAAGGCATGGCCTTGCTTTCTCACCGAATGTTTAATAAATGAGGGAGGGGTAAGACGACCCCTCAAGCCCTAAGTTTTCGGCAATACTCTCAAAGCTAACTTAATGCAATGTTAGGTCCAATTATTCTGTACGCTCCTCATTCCTGTTCCTTTCAGTGATAGCAATATAATCTCATCTTCTCCAAACAGTATACTCTCAAGTCAGTCCGAAAGACAGCCCTCTGGTAAAGTCAGCACGGCCTTTGCTAAAGTCCACAGGAAGAAGCCATGTTTGAGGCCACAGTCTATCTCCTGACACATCCCGCATGGCCATGTCGTTCGCCAGCCCTGGAGCAGGCTGCTGTGTCTGTTGTTGTTAGGTACCATTGAGTCAGAACTGACCAGTGGGGTTTTCAGAGGCAGTTAATCACACGGGAGGAGATTGCCCATCTTTCTCCTGCAGAGCAGCTGGTGCCCTCGAACTGTGTGCCTTTGGGATTGCAGTGCAGCTTCTTGCCACTAGGCCACCTCAGCTCGATGTGTCTGTAGTGGAAGAAAAGATGGCTCTGGCTCACACTGCAGGACCGGGTTACATGAATCTAATGTATCTGAGAACATTAGATTTACATTAATGCAGGCAAATGTCCACTTTCTTAAACTCACAGACGTTATTTGACTAAGTTGGGGAACACATTCATACGTCCCAGTCCACCCTTTTCCCAGGGCATTGAGCCGAATGATAAGCAAACTCCCCTCCCTTTCTTAAATGACATCTCTCTCCAATTGTTTCTTTGCTTGCCACACACACGTAGTCGAATGTGCATACATTCCAGGGTGTACGATGCAATTCCACCACGTCCCTTTATGAATGAACATTAACCAAAGGCTACCTATACTGAATATATGTATATATTTTTTTAATTGTCTAGCTCTGAAAAAAATAGCTGGAACTGTCTCCATGAATGAGTCCAAGTGCAATATCTATAAAGATGAAACGCTTTCGGAAAACATGTGTGAGAGGGAAAAACTATATGCTGATCTTAGCGCTCCCTACTCCGTGCTTTTTAATTGTATAAATGAATTGCTGATGTCTTAAAAAGAGTAAAAACTGGGGGTGAATTTGGAATGCATCCCCCAGACATTCTTTTATTGCTTCTCTTAACAATAGAGGCGGCTACCAAGTTACTATGGTTGCTTTTTTATAGTTTGGTCAGTGGTATTTAAAAGAGGCTCAAGTCTCGAAGACACTTTGATGAGTCTTGGTTAAAATGAATACAGCTATCCACTGAGTTGGGTGGTTATTTAGCTGCTGAAATTTATTTCAGATTATCTAAAGACTTTTAATTTATTCTTATTTATATGCATAATTATGAAAAATCATTCTAAGAGTTTTTTAGGGTTGGTTTTTTTATAAGTCAAACTTTTAGGCAGTTTTGGAAATCAGACTTTTCCATCTGAAGCCTGTAAAGTACACAGGCAGCTGATGAGAGCACTTACATAGTTGCTTTCTCTTGAGGGTTTCATGGTGTGTCTTTCAAAGACTCAGTAAGCATCTCTCTTGGTATATGGACTGCGCTCTGACTGGATATGCCGTGATATTAGGGGCACACGTGCAGTGTCTTTTGACTGGAAAACTTAAGGACTTAAATGTCTCATAAGGAAGGATTGAGGAATTGACCAACCAACTATAAAAGACAGACAGGAGGCACCACGAACTTCCACTTTGCAAACACTCTGCAAATGGAGAAGATTATTTTACAGATTTGGTACTCGATGACCCAATGTGGGAGCTCATCTGAAGTCAATGAAAGACTCTAGCATTGACTCTTCTGGTTCAAAGACTGGGAGAGCCCATAGAGAAATAGGAAATGTTCATATTTTCGTAATTAAATAATATATTGTCTTTGGACTTGTTTGTATCATAATAAATTTTAATATGGTGCACACTGGTATGTGACGTGTGTGTGTGTGTGTGTGAGAGAGAGAGAGAGAAAGTACAGGCTCTCTAATTTAAAATTTTTCTTTTTTTTAAATTATTTTATATTGGTTTTCAGACAAAATTCGTGTACATTGTGTTCTGTTTATGTACATTGTGTCTCACATATTTCTCTATTCACATTGTGTTTCATATGATCATACCTGTATATTGTTTTTTGGAGTTTTTTTTTTAATTTAAAATTTTTAAATGAAACAGTGCTTTTTTTTCTGGCAAAGATGGATATTTATTTACCGAAAACTGAAACAAGATCCACACTTCACACCATATATAGAAACTAACTCAAGGTGGATCAAGAATGTAGGGGTAAGACCAAAAACTATGAAAATAAAATTTTTTGCTTTTCCACTTTTTTTATTTTTTAAAGTATATGCTTTCCATTTAATTATTCCCCATTCATTCATTGTTGTATAGTTTCCGCCCTGCCCCCCCCCCCAGTTCTTTTTTCTCTTTTAACAGAGAAAGACAAATTCATTTTGATACAATCAAGAAATATTGCTTCTACATTGTTCTGGGTGCTAGTCTTACCTAGTCACCCACAGGTATTGCATGATTTAAAACCACTGAAATGTTCTTTCTGTCATCCCACAACAGATGTTTGTTGTTGCTAAGTGCCATCAGGTCAACTCCGACTCATAATGATGCTCTGAACAGAGATTCGAACCTTGTCCTTTCCTGTACCATCCTCATCGTCTCTGCCACACTTGAGCACATTGTTACAGTCACTGTGTCAATCCATCTCATTGAGGGTCTTCCTCTCTTTCTCTAGCTCTTCACCTTTCCCAGCGTGACATCCTCTTCCAAGATCTGGCCTTTCCTGGCAACATGCTGAGGTATGTGAGGCAAAGGTTCACCATCATCCTTGCCTTGAGGGAGTACCCTGCTACACTTCCTCAGAAACAGGCTTGTTTGTTCTTTTGGCAGTCTATGAAGTATTCCGCCTTCTCCAACACCACCATTCAAAAGCCTTAGGTAGCCTGCTAGTTATAAATCTACAACTCGACAGCACTTAACAACGAGAGAGCTCTGTTGGTCTAGTGGACAGAAAGTGATGCTACCAAGCCAAAGGTGGGTGATTTTAATCTGCGGCCCTAAGAGCTGTTTTACTTGTTTTTGGTCAAACATTCTTCTAAGTGGTATAAGCAATGGTCTGTCCATTTGTTGTACAGAGGTAACTCGTGGTTGCTGTGATGCTCAACACTGTGACACCAATGTGTCAAATGCGATAATGGTTACCCATGGTGGGCACTGTTTGGTGGAGCTTCCCAATTTGGAAGCAGGAGTGGCATCCACTTCCGAAATAGCATGCTTCCAGAAACCCTATGAACTTGGAGAAACAATGAAAGTTATACGAGAGTTCAGGTCTTTCGTTCATAGGGATGCTATGAGT